ATTATTAAAGGAGAAGCCAGGCCATCTCCCAAGGCAGGTTCCTGCCTCAGGCTTCATCTGAACGCCTGCAGGAGGGGAACCTTGCTCTGCAGCTCAGTGCCCTCCCTAAGACTGGCCTGCCCGTTTCTTGGCAAGGAAGCATGTTATTTGAATATGTCCACTTTCCCTTCAGCAGCACAATGAGAATCTGTTCCTGTGACTAGTTTGGTAGGAACAAAATTTCCTGTCATGATTTTCTAAAATTCTCTTGTCATTTTCTTCGGCAGCTTTATATTCCTGTGCTGCATTCACCTTAAAATCTTAGTATTTAGCTTATTTAGAGAGATAAACAAATGTTGTGATAATAATAGCAGCCAATGAACAAATGATGATAAAAGCGTAGGCCTTACTATAAGAATTAATTACCAGGAAACAACAGGCAACAGGCCCAGCTGTCTTTAGCAATTTTGAAGGCATAACTTGAAACATGGAAGATGTTGAAAAGAAACAAGTGGAGAAAAATATCACAGCCATTGGCATGTATACTGCAGATGTGAGCTTTGTCATCAGCAATTCTCTGTTCTTACCGTAAATCTGAGGTTGGTATTTCAAGATCACATCAATTATGTCGAATTTAAAAATGCCACGTGACCCAAGAAAGCTAGAGGGAGAAATTCCTCTGTTAAAGGCACTGGGGATAATTTTATTAGCTTAATCTCAGTGTCATATGATGCATTGTTCTGCTGTCCAGTTGTGAGGCTAAACCTATTTATGCTTTGTGTCACATATGGTATCATATCGACACCTTTCTTATTTGCAGAGAAACTCCCTTTGCCTTTCAAATATATTTCAACGGAAACTCTAAATAACAAATATGACCATATTAATTGTCCTAATGGGGTCATTTTGGTGAATGAAAGAGTATACTGTTAAAAAACATGTTTTTTTTTTTCAATTACAGTTATTAATTTCAGGTGAATGGCATAGTGGTTAGTTAATTATATACCTTATATAGTGTTCCTCCGGATAGCTTTAGTAGTCACCTGGCACTACACATAGTTATTACAAATTATTGACTATATTCCCTGTACTTTATATCCCTGTGACTTTTTTGTACTTACCAATTTGTACTTCTCAACCCCCTTCATCTTTTTTACCCAGTTCTTCTCCTCCCTCCCCTCTGGCATTCATCAATCTGTTCTCTGGGTCAATGAGTCTGTTTCAATAGTTTTCTCTGTTTTGGACATTTCATATGAATGGAATCATATTATAATTATTTGTGACTGGCTTCATTTGCTTAGCATAATGTTTTCAAGGTTCATCTATATTGTAGCATGCATCAGTATTTTCTTTTGCCAAAAAATATTGTATTGTATTGATATAACAGGTTCTATTCACCCATTCATCAATTGATGGATGTTTGGGTTGTTTAATTAATATTTTTGATTAATATGTATTCTACTTCAATGGATATTTTTGTGTGGACATATGTTTTCACATCTCTTTACTACATATTTAGAAATGGAATTTCTGGGTGATAGAGTAACTCCATGGTTAACATTTTGAAGAAGTGCCATTTTCCAAAATGGCTGCACTGTTTTTCATACTAATCAGCCATGTATGAGGGTTCCATAGACTCTATGTTCTCAGGGACACTTATCTGACTTTTTGTTTCTAGCCAATTTTATGTCAGTAGTGCTGTCTCATAGTGGTTTTGATTTGCATTTCCCTGATGGCTAATGATATTTATCATGTTTTCATCAGATCTTTATAACAGAGAAATTCCTCTGTTAAAGGCACTGGGGATAATTTATAAAGGACTCTATAAAGGCCTTCTGGGGCCCTGGCTCTCCAGTTGTGGCAATAACTGCACTGGAAGGGAAGTAAAACACCCTATGATGAGAAGATGAAGGGACTGGGAGGCTGGGCTATTGACTGCTTGAACCACCCGTATAGTAAAGCTCTCATGGTCTGCTCACCTCTTCAAAGTCCCTATGTTGGGCTCCTTTTCCCCATTTCGTCCCTCCAGACAGAGGATTGTGATGGACATCTGTTTTGTTTCTTGTTGTTGTTGCCATTTTTCCATGACACTCAGGATTCACAGGGCACTCATTCTCGTTTTGTGTTTCCGTCTGAACAAGTGGGGTTGATTCCCCTGCAGACCCTTATAGTACAGGTGGGAATGTGTGCAGGCTTGGCCAATGAGAGCATTGCATGGAGGTTCATGGTGAGCCCCCACACATCTATAATCCTGGCGCATAGTCTAGAACTCATCTCTGGGTCATGGCTGCAGGTGTTCCAGGGAGATTTAGGATAAATAAATCTCCCTTAAAACCATGAATATCAAACGTGACATCTCCATCCTGATAGGTGAAATGTCTATACTAAGGGCAAGAACTTGCACATTTCCATCCAGCATGATGGAAGGCACAAATTTCACCATCTCTAAAGACAGGGATGCCATGCCTGGTGAAATAGCTGCAAATATTATTCGAGTGCTTGAGGAATAGCCCAGTCTTTTTGGTGAGCCATCAATAGGCTGTGCAGTCCTCTGATCAGCCAGGGCTGTTGGAGCTTAGATCAGTTTGAAAGCAAGACAGAGTCACACAGTGGGGATGATGGGCATAATCTTTGTTCCACCAGCAAGGTCACTCTTTCCCTTCTTCATTGGTTCTTACTTTCTCACTTAATCTAAGGTGTCTTTTCCTATTTTCATCTTTGTTTTACCCTGGGAGGAAAGTGGCTACCTGGATAACAGTCCTCATGCTTATAGCTGAGTGATGTCTTTTGCTCAGAAAAAACTAGTCAGCAATCCTGCAGCCTGAAGAAATACCCAGGGGCAGGAATCTCATCCCCATAGTGACTTTCCTATAGGATAATTTCAATGTCAAGGTTAACATATGCTTTCCCAACACATCAACATGACCCATGACACAGATCTTTAGGCAGATCTGTGCTGTTTCTAGACCCCTAACCAGCCCAAGATCTACTGTAGCCATATTCCCCAAACACTTCCATTCAGGGTTCACCCACCTGTGGGAACCTTTTGCTCACTGACTTCTAAATAACTAAGCCACTGTGTCTTCTTCACTAATATTTTCTGAAAAAATATGTCTGTCCTTGATCTTCAGATACAGAAGACCTGTTCTAGAGGATATTAAATATTCCCCGAGGGGGAAGGTGAGGGCTGCTCTGTATGCTCATTAAGGCTAAGCTAAAAGGCAGAAGACAGTGCCCATCTCCTCAGCCCCATCAAGGATGAGGTGGGCTTTGGTAGGAGGAACATGATATTTATTTTTTAAAGAAGATACTTTTATTAATTTTAGAGAGAAAGGAAGGGAGAGGGAAAAATAGGAACATTGATGAGACACACACTGATTGGCTGCCTCCTGCACACTCTCCACCCAGCATTAAGCCCTCAACTCAGACATGTGCCCCAACTGGGAATCGAACCAGGGACTTCTTGGTTCACGGGTCAACTAATGATCAATCACTGAGCCACACCAGAGAGACAATATCTATTTTTTGATAAGAGTTCCAGAGGACTGGTCACTTGAGAAGCAAAAGGAAGCAATCAGTAGGTGTTAAACTGCTTTCTTTCCTTAAGCACAAGCCCTGAGATACCCCAAACCCATGCCCCCAACACAGTACACAGAGACTGTATCACTATTATTAGTGAAACATTTATTAAAGCAAATCAAGAAAGAAATTATTTTGGGGTGGGAGATTCTCTCCCCTACAAAAGTGGCAGAATAGTTTTCTGCCTGCATAGGTTAGCCAGATCTCTGAACACAATGCCTCCAGCAGTGGTGAGAGCAGCAGGAGGCCCGTGGGCAGCTGAAGGCCTGCAGGTGGGGCTTGGAAGGGGCATAGTTTCTTTTTACGGGCACAGATTGAAGTTGCTTTTGACCCTATAGCTGGTCCTTTAATGCCACAACTTCCCAGAGGTTTCTGTCCTTGTCTCTGAAGGCAGCTTCTTGGCAGAAGGACTGGGTGTTTGTCACTTTAAAGGAGAGAGCCCTGGGGTTGAAAGAGTAACCCCGGACAGGCTCTGCATTCTGTGGAGTGTTCACAAGCTTCCATGCAGAGGGAAGGGGCTCTTGAAAAAGCATGATGGTGGTTTTCTATTGAAAAAGCATGATGACACCCTAGTTTCTCCTCTTGGAATAACCCAGTAAAGACAGCTCTACTTTTAACTGGGCCTCTGCTCTGTGTAGATGATAGGGGGCTGCCCTTTTCCTGAGAGTATTCTTGCTGTTTGTATTTTATCCCAGTATAAAGCCATTGAAAAAAACGGTTCATTTGATTTCTGAAAAGGTTTTCAGGAGGAGACTGTGCCTTCTGTGATGGGTTTTGGGGAGATTTGCTCCCGAGCCTCTCCTTCAGTGGCAGGTTTCGAGTAGGAAATCTCCTCCTTTCAGGTTGGGTTGTTCCCAACCCTGCATCTCCCCCACCAAGCTCTTCTGATGAGGACCTTGTAGGTCTCACCTTTGCAGCTGGTGGGAAATTCTTATTCTCACACAACCTTGAGATATTCTTAGGGACCCAAGGCGCCTGTGGCTGCTTCAGACTGACTCCCGTGTTCGCCACATGGACGTGCAGCACCTGGTGAGCTCTCCCATCCACACTGGAGACACCCTGAGCATGAGTCAGGGAGGCTTTGTTAGTCAAGCTGTCTGAGGCATGGGACACGCGAGTGTGTTGGCTTTGGGCCTGGCTCTGCTTCTTCTCGAGCTTCCGCTTTAACTCATCCATTAATGTCACCTGAGAGTTTTCTGATTTAGCATCTTGGAGAACTGATGTTTTTTTCTGGGAGGCTTTCAGTTGTCACAGTAGTTACTCCTTTACTCTCACTCACATTTAGCCTTTGGGAGATTCCCGGCTTGCTGGTTGTCAAGGTGTCACTTATTTTAGATTGAAGAGTGTTGAGCCTCTCAGACCTGGACACGTTGGGCATGCAGACAGGTTCTAATTTCTTCATCTCTTTGCCCTGATTGAAATCCACACACTCATCATTTGGCTTATGTCCAGCCCCGGTTAGCCTTATGGGCAGCATTGGTGGGGGGATGTTGGCTCTTAGAGTCTCTCTCTCTCTCTCTCTCTTTGCCAGTGATGCTGTTTGTAACAGGCAGAAGAGTCTGCCCAGCATCTGGAATTCTGCCCAGCATCTGAACTTCCTCTGCCAGCTCATGGGCTATTTCACAGGGTGGTTGTCTCAGGGTCCCCTGTCCTTTCTGGCCCTCAAGTGAGGTGGTAGAGTAAGGATGATTGAAGATTTTAGAGCTTCCTTGAAGGGGTATGAAGCCCTCTGATTTGGAGACCACATTAGGAATCATGTTGGTGGAGGAGGAAAATTTGTAATCGGGAAAGGGATGGGATAAGGTATCTCTTGATTTACAGAGTTCTATGGATTGAAGAACTTTGGTGGGAAGGCCCCACACCATCCTCAAATTGAACATGGCAATGTGGCCTTCCAGCATCTGCTGTGCTTTGGGCTCAATGAAGGAAAGCTCCTGGCTCGTGTCCAGGCAGTTTTTTTCACCCACTGGTATTGCCAAACTTCTCTGTTCTATTTCACTGTGCAGTTGCATAGAAAGTGTCTGTTGGATAACATGCAGTGAATTCTGCACAGTCACAGGGAGCTGACTCTTCACGATTTCCTGAAACTTCTTGCTTAAGTGTACTTTCAGGGCTTCTTCTGATTGTCTCTGACTTTCACTCTGCCCTGACACTGTTGAATTTGCTCCGGATGGACCCATCACATAACTCTCTGGGTTTTTCTTAGAGTCACACCCCACATCCTGAGCTTGGTTGAAATTGTGTTGTGCCAAGGTGGACGGCAATGGGCCTTTGACATGAGCTTCCTGATAGGAAATGTCTGAAATCGATAGGCTTGGACGGTCACTGCCTGGATGGACATAAGTGGACAATGCCCTGGTGCTGTCTGGAGATGAGCTCCCTAGAGCAGGCTTGGATGAGATGTGAATGGTTTTAGGTTGAGTCACAGTTAAACTGCAGTGTGGTGGTGATGAACCAGACATGATTGGTGGACCATGGTAAGTCACTGATGCTGTGGGATTCAAAGTTAGGGCCAACTTTGGAGAAGGGTTGATGTCTTGGGTATTGGAGGTTTCAATAAAGATGGTATTCAAGTTAGGAGGGGTTTCCACACTTTGAGTGCCCTGTGCTGGGAGAGAGGGCAAGGCAAGGGGTAGAGGTGGAGAACTTTCTACTGCAAATTCAGATTCCAGTGGAGGACAAGGCTCTGGTGGCAGGGAGTGAAACGATGGTGACCGTGATGGAATATCACCTGATGAGACCACTGGATTAGTGGAGAGATTGGAGGGTGGTTGTGGAAAAGGCCCAGGCAGAGGAGGTGGTATTAGGTCTCCTTGAGGGACTACTGACTCAGTCACAGGAGCTGTGGAAGCCAAAGAGGACACAGAGGGAGTAGCATCTTCAGGGGCCAATGAGGACAGCAGCTGATCCATCTTAGCAGTTGCATTATTACACACATCACAGGAGAGGTCTGAACATAACAGTTGACGAAAGAGGGTGGAATCATGATGCTGGCCCAGAGGGCTGTAGGAGACAGGAGGTACAAAGCTGAAGCCAGGACTAGAACAAGGAAAGGAGGACCTCCTGGCCTGATTGAGGTGGAGGGCGGGGGAACTTGAACCCTGCTGTCCTTTCACATTGCCTCACATCCATGACTTCACAATGCACTCAATAGCACTTACCCCAAGGCCTTCACCCAAGTCCCTATTCCTGGGGCAACCCCCTCCCATGACTACGGAAGGCTGCACTGAATCCCTGAAATTGCATAGAATATGCTAAAGAGGGATTAGGCTTGATTCCCAGTGTAGGTTGTGCAGGAGGCAGCCAGTCATTGATTCTTTCTAATCATTGATGTTTCTATTTCTCTCTTCCTCTGCCTCTCTCTCTCTCTGAAATCAATAAAAACATATTTTTTAAAAAGAGGTATCATGAAAAAGGGGGAAAGAATACTTACCTTTTCAGGAGAAAAACCAACATCTTTATATCCTCTTCTTCCCTCTGTTTGTATCTGCAACCTGGGAAACCAGGAGTGAATGTTATATGTGGTGAAGGTGTGGAATCCCAGCTTCTCTACAGGAGTACCTTTATGGGAGACCATTGGATATTAGAATGAAAGCCCCATGAGTCAGTAAATGAGGTCAAATAATCAATAATAATATTAATAAGGTTCCTATGTGTGTTGCTTCATTTATAAAGTACTTTCACGTACATTATCTCATTTGATGCTGAAAACCACTGTGAAACAGAGAGGTCAGTGGTTACATCAAAGAGGAATCTGATCATCCTGAAGTTGAAGTACTTTCACAAAGTCAGGAGCCAGAAGTGCTGACACTCTCTGTCTGCTGGGCAATACCCATTGCTCAGGTCCATCACTGCTTCATACACAGAAACAGCAGAGCAGGGACTCTGAGAAGTATTTCAAGTTCTGTCTTCTCATGAGCCTCTTCTGAGGCCTCTGTATATCGAGAAGAACTGTGTTGAGCAATTGAACTCATAGAAATCATGAACCTGGTTCCTCATGGAAAGGAGAGAAAGGATCAGCCTTAGGGAGCTCACGTGGAGGAGGCAGAACCTTACCTTTCTGTGTCCCACTTTTCCTCGTCCTCTTGGCTCTGCCCCGATGACACTGAGAACAAAGAAAAGAATGAGAGGGTGAGACCTGTCACTCCTCTCCCTAGGAATCTCAGACATTAATTATTCAAGAATTAAAGGAACTTTATATCATTTTAAAAAATATTTAAAATGTTTTCCAATTTTTCTTCTTTGAAAAACTCAGAGAAGTATTGTGTCATGAGGTTCATAGTCAGTTCTCAGTCAGAAGCCGCCTGCTTAAGGAGGGCATAAAATCTGGGGCCAACAGTCTCATCTCTGCTCCATCAGATAAGACCCTGTGACCTGGGACAGAACTCCGGCACCTGTCTCTGCTCAGAGGCTCCCAGGTGCTCAGCACTGCTCTCCTGATCAGGCCAACAGAGAGGAAAGCTTGTTTCAGTTATGCCTGACATGGGAATATAATCATAATGAAGTTCCATGGAACTCTCATCTCTAGCAGAGATCCCAAACTCAAAATAACCCAATCCAGGGCCATGAAGGCACTGTTTTGGGGTTTTATACAAGAATTCTCCACCATACCTAGATGGTCTGTGAGCTTCATATGGTAACCTGAGTCCTCCCTGACACCTTAGCCCTGCCTGGTCTCTTCCCCTAAACAAGTGATGTTGTTCTTTCCTCAGCCATTCCATCTCAGGTGTCTCTTTGACTCAACTAAACTCATTTATAAATGTGGGACTAGAAATGGAGAAAACAATAAAGAATCTTGTAAAGGGTTTCTTACCTTTTTTGTCTGTTCATTGCTATAGTGTTCATTGCTATAGAAGAGTTGGAACAATAGAACTTTCGACAGGATACAGAAGAAGACAATGAACACCCCCAATACACAGAAGTGAACTAGGGTGCAGTAACAATCTTCAGGTTCCGAGCAGAAGCTCTGATAAAGCTCTGGGAGGCTATTCAGAAACTGGATGAAAGACATGAGGCAACTGAGTTCTGAGGGTGCAGACTCTTGACTTTATAGCCAGGCCTGCATCACAGAACACTGAGGAGTCACAGAAGGTTTCTGAGGATGGTGGGGGGAGGGTACACCTTCAAGAGGGTGTGTCTACAGCTCCTCCCTCCATTCCCTTCATCCCTTTTGGGCCTCTAGGATCCTCTGCCCTACTCTGTTATCTTCCAATCTGCCTTTTATTATATCATATATTATATCAATGAATGTTCTGCTTATTCCATCTGTAACCCAGCTAATACCTGAATCCCCCTTTATGTGTGGAGACTTTGACTTGGGCCTCACCATGTTCACTACTTTGAAACTCTGAAATAATGCCTTGGATTTTTCCTTATACCCAAACATTTACACTCAAGATCATATATGTCTTCAAATCTGTCTTTCCTATAGAATTTTTGCCTTACACGAACCCAGATATAGAACTTAGCATCCTCCCCCCCCCTCATTAATCTTTAGAGAGAGGGAGAATGGAGAGAGAGAGAGAGAGAGAGAGAGAGAGAGAGAGAGAGAGAGAGAGAGATTAACTGGTTGCCTCTCACATGCATCCGGAGTGGGACCAGAAATAGAACCTGCAATCCATGCTCTTGACCAGGAATTGAATCTGAGACCTTTTGGTGCTGGGGCTGATGCTCTCATCACCTGGAAACACTGCCTGGGGCTTAGATTTTTGTTTCCGTTAGCCTTTACTGTCTTCAGTCAGAGGGACTAATTGAAATAATAATTTATTATTCAACATTCACAAGAACAAAATGAGTATGAAACAAATGTAAATAATTAAACCTTTAAGTGATGTTAGAGGTAAATTTGTGGCACTTATTTCTCTGAAGTTAGTGAAGCTTAAACTGCATAAAGACTTTCCAAATATGCTACACACACACACACACCCTTTTGACAGTACAATGCAGTATTTTCAAAATAAACAATTTTCTCTTTTATTTCAATACTAGAGGCTCATTTGTGCATGGGGTGGATCTCTCAGCCTGGCCGGCACTCTTATAGTCCTTTGTACTGCCACAGAGGCTAGAGAGACTCCTGCCACTGCCCCTGTGCCAGCCCTAAGCCTGGCTTCTGACTTTGAGGCCCCTCCCTTGTGGTCGCTTTCATATTAGCCTTTTATTATATAAGATTTCATTTGTTATTTGACACTTCTTACTCCATCTAATATACAGGCAGCCCCTGCCATCTATATCAATTTTCTAGCATCTGTATAAATCATCTCTATCTTAGTCATTTTGGGCTGCTGTAATAAAAATACCATAGACTGGGGACTTAAATAACAAACATTTACATAGCTCTAGAGGCTGGGAAGTCCAACATCAAGACACCAGCAGATCCAGTGTCTAGTGGGGCTCACTTTCTGGTTCATAAAGAGCTGTCTTCTCACCACCACCTCACATTGTCTAAAAAGATGGTGAGGGAGTTTTCTGGGATCTCTTAAAAATTTCTTTTTCAATGATAGCTTACATTCATTATTATCTTATATTAGTTTCATGTGTACAACATAGTAGATAATCATATACTTTACAAAGTGACGCCCTCTGATATTTTCAGTGCCCACCTGGCACCATACATAGTTATTACAATATTAATTGACTATATTCCCTATGCTGTACTTTACATCCCTGTGACTACTTTGTAACTACCAATTACTTCTTAATCTCTCTACCTTTTTAGCTGCCCCCCCCGAAAAAAACCTTCTCTTATCTGATAAATGTCCAAATGTTCTCTGTATTCATGAGTCTGTTTCTATTCTGCTTATTCATTTACCAGATGTACCAGTTAATAATGTGGATTTTTTTTCAATAGATGGAGTTACACATATGTTGATATATATACGATTTGATATGTAAACTATTTTGTTGTGTTCACAATAAGTTTCAAAACTTCATATGTCAAATTTTCTGAAGGTGTTAACATCATAGGTATTTTTACTTTTAAAAATGTCAAAGTTTGTGCCAAAAAAAAAGAGCGTTTGCAGGAGGTTTAATTCATTGCTTTATTTTGAAGAAAAGTGCTGCTGAAAGTTATTGTATATACATTGGGAAGCTTATGGTGAACATGCTCCTTCTCAAGATACTTGTGAATGCTGGTTTAAATGTTTTAAAAGTGATGATTTCGATGTGAAAGACAACATCCAGGTCAACAGAAAAAGTTTGAAGACCAACAATTACAAGCATTGGATGAAGATGGGTGTCAAACTCAAAAACAACTTGCAGAAAGATTAAACATTGCTCATCAAACAATTTCCAATTATTTACAAGCAATGGGAAAGATTTTAAAGAAAGGAAAATGGTGTCACATCAACTGTGAAGGAAAGACAAATGGAAAACTGAAAAGTCATCAGGAAAATGTTGCTTCAATGGCACAAAAGAAATACTTTCTTTGCATTGAATTGTGACTGGTGATAAAAAGTGGATTTATTTTGAGAAACCCAAGTGCACAAAATTTTGGGTTAACCTAGATTCTAGGTCAACCATCAACAACAAGGCAAAATCGCTTTGGAAAGAAAACAATGCTCTGCAGTTTGGTAGGATTAAGTAGGTGTAGTGTATTATGAACTTCTAAAACCAGTTGAAACCATTAATACTGATTACTACCAACAACAACCAATTTGAGCAATGCTTTGATCATAAAATGACCAGAATGTGCCTGAAGACATGGCAGAGTAATTTTGATTTATCATAATACACCATTACCCACTTCAAAACCAGTTAAAGACACGTTAAAAGATCTTGCCTGGGTAGTATTAACCCAACCATTGTATTCACCAGACCTTGCTCCTTCAGATTATCACTTATTCTTCTAGATGGCACACATACTTTTTGAGCAGCACTTCAAAACATAAGAAGTGGAAAATTGAGTCTCTAAATG